GGCGGGGCTGGTAGCCGCAGAGTTTCTGATACCCTCAGTCGACAGGAGCACTCGTTCGCCTGTCGTAAACGTGGAGGGTTGTGTAGGAACATCCACCATTTGGGCAAGACCACCCTGCTTTTGGTGCAAAACATCTATTTAATAGTGCGAAACACCACCTTTAATAGTGAAACCACACATCCAGGACTATAGCACCCACCCACATCCAAGTACTAAACACACGAGCACCCCAGAACAATATGTAGCTTGCTGAAAATCGGCACATCGGCAACCTAAGGCAACGGTTTTAAAGCAATTGGATCTGCATTAACATGTTACCCAAAGGGGCGTAATTGGACGGCCGAACATACATCTTTTTATTAGTGGAAAGCATCGGAAGCTATCACCACCGCGACATACAGTAAGCAAATTCGTGTTGAAGAATCTCCTGTCAAATGAATCGACGAAAGAAAGATGCCTGTCGTACATCAGCCTGAAAGGATCGATGCAGCGGCTAGCGTCGGCGCTTAGCAGGTGCTGTTGGGTATCAAGGGCTCGACGACTGGGTATTTTGTACCGAAGGTGAAAAACATGTTTTTCCAAGGAAGAAGTGGGCCACGTTTTCCAGGTTCCGCGAGTCAAGCTTGCTTTCAGTACGACAGCCCAGCACAAACGAATGGCTAGATCATTCAGGGAGATTTGCTGATAGTGTAGCTATATCTAAGAGTAGTAAGGTTAGTTTTGGGCTCTCTTGGCCCAGCACGCAAGCATTATGCTTCCCACCACACCACATCTGGGGCTGCTTCGCATGGATCCGCTTCGACACCCACTGCGAGGCCTGCCTCACTAACCAAGAGTGACCGCCTTTGCCCCCAACGGGTTCACGGATGACGCATGAAAATAAGGCGACGACGTCCTCCGCTGCGGCGAACCCTACGGTCTTCTCGTGCATCACCTAGAGCTTCACCACGGACAGCGTCAGTATCTTCGTTATGGACAAGCTTCCGTCTGTGCCGAGGCTACAGACCAATTGGCATCCAGTGGTATATTATTTTCGCTAATGGCTTGTGGTCGAGGCCATTGGTCAAGCCCATGAGTTGTGGCCACCTCTGCTGGTGTCGTCGCAGGGGCCTCTGCTTCTTGGACTGGTGCCGGAGCTCATACGGAGAGTGGTCGTACACGCTTTGATGGTGGAAAAATCGGAAATCTGGTGGGTGCTCTTATTTTATTGGTGGGATGATTGGCTCCATTACATGATGTCGTTGCCCAAAAGGTGGATGCTCCTACTCGGTACTCCGTAAACGTGGCCGTGTTCTTGCGGCCAGTCTTGTCTGCGTTCTCCTTCTGCTTGTCCACTGCGTCCTGCAGTGCGTCTCAAACACAGCGAGTGACCGCTTGGCGCTGTAGTACGAAGTTGGAGACGACTGCGGAGTGGATTGATCGCGCCACTGGCTTCGACGCGTAGCTAGCTGGCGTAAGTAGGCACGATACAGCTCCGGGGTTGATCAGATTACGGTCGGCCCAAGCTGCAAAATGGGACGCCGCGGAGCGCGTCACTGCGTCGACCGACGTGGGGATTGGAAATACACTCGAGATATCATTAGCAACCGATATATGTACCGGTTGACCTAGGACCGGTGTTGCCGCTGGAGACGTCGGAGCTGGAGTAGACGACTTGTCAGTAGCTTCTTCCCCACCCAGAGTGGAGACACACAGCGCTGTGGGATGGCCCACGGCGAGGAGAGCAGAGACACGCGGATGGCGCGCGTCGTTAATGAAGAAGGGCGTCAGCCCGGTCGACGCATGTACTGCGCTGCTCAGCGCAAACTCGGCCAGAGGCACAAACGAGCTCCAGCTGGAGAACGACGTCGCGTAGCTTCGAAGGAAATCTTCGAGAAGGCGATTTACGCGCTCAGTCTGGCCGTCCGTTTCCGGATGGGCTGCCGTGGACACCAACAGCTTCGATCCCAGTAGCTCGAAAAGCTTTTCTCAGAAGGCCGACGTGAAGCGCAAGTCGCGGTCGGAGACGATGGATTCAGGGAGACCATGATGGCGGAAGATCGCATCGACGAAGTGCACTGCGGTATTTGCCGCGGTGATTGAATCTGACACCGGAATCAGGTGGACCATCTTGCTGAAGTGGTCGACAAACACCAAGACACCTGAACGTCCTATAACATCGGGTGGGAGCCCGAAGATGAAGTCCATCGACACCGAGCACCAGGCCTCGGTGGTCACTGCAAAGAAGACGCAAGAGAGCCTGCGACGACGAAGCAGGTTTCACGCGCTGGCAGATCTCGCAGGTGCGCCCCCACTTACGTACCCATTTATACAGATGGGACCAATAAAAGTCGCGAGATACAGCGGCAAACGTCTTTTTGCGACCGAGATGAGTGCCCAGCGGAGAATCATGAAACTCGTGGATAATCCGTGAGCGCAGATCGGGGTCGTTAGGGACAACAACACATGGGGCATCGAAGTTGTAGATGCAGTACGTCAGCAGCTCATGGCGTCCAGTGGTGCTGCCTCACTCTTGCTCATGGGTGGTAGGACAGCTCATTCTACAATTAAAATCCCTTTAAAATTGAGCGAGAGCTGGACGTGCGGCATCAGGAAGAACTTCTATATTCAGGAGTTGATCAAGCATGCAAGTTTTATTATATGGGACGAAGCAGCCGTGGCCCATCGCCACGCGTTTGAGGCAGTAGACCGAACACCGCGGGACATACAAGACAACGATACCGAGCCTTTCGGCGGGAAAGTGTTTGTACTTTCGAGAGATTCCCGCCAGATTTTCCCGATCCTGAAGAATGAAACACCCGTTGGGACAATTGACACTTGCCGCAAGGCATCTAGGCTGTGGCCCCATTTTCAGACGTTCCATCTTATGGAAAACGTCAGTGAGGGCCCCCCAATTATTACTGGAGAACACTACCGAAGGGAAATGGCTGCCCCTCTCCCGGATTTCTGCTGCAAGGTTGGGGGAGGGG